CGGTTTGGGCAGCGGTCGCGGGCCCAGCGAGGGACCGGGCGGCGCCGCCGGGGGAAGGGTCGTCGCTGTCGTCGTTGCTGTGGGCGGCGCCGGCGGGAAGCAGGACACGGATCAGATCTCCCGGGACGACGCCGCACGACGACAACTTCTGACCCGTGTCAGCGAGGAGCTCGGTGCCGTTGAGAGAAAGGCCAAAGTTCGCGTCTGGACTGAGGTCAACAAAATATCACATTTGAATCCGATTACATAACCACACGTGCAATCACGGCCAGTCGTCTCTTTCTCTGCAAAGCCGTCTCATGCGAACGCATCCGATTCCGCAGCGCCGTGACGTCATCTGACGTTTCCTCGCGGCCTTTTGAGTCACATGGCGTGCGTCGGTGACGTCACGCCGCGTGTGGACCTCGTCGGGTGGCCACGTGAAACATCACAACTACTCTGCGCGCGCCCGTCGAGCTTCGAAAAGTCCGTCTTCGGGCGACAACAACAACCAAATGATTTTCTCTCGTAACGAGCGTCGCCCTCGCGCCTCGCTCAAGCAGGCAGTCAATGTTGAGCGCAGCAACTCTTACCGCACACGTCAGAGCATATTTTTGGACGTAATAATATTCCGCAGACTGACCCGAGTCCGTGCCCGGGCAGCAGGACGTCACGGATGTGCTCCATAAGCTCCTTCAAAGTAGACTCGGGACCCACCACGTCCACTTTGCTGGTTTGCTCGCAGATGCGAATTCGCAACTTCATCCTGTTGGCAGGCAGCACCAACAACGACAACAAATTATTTACGCTCTCTCAGTTGACTGCATCGAGCCATCTTATCTGCTTTTGCTGAGTCATTGATTAGCATCGAGCCAAACAAAACATGAGACAAACAACACAAATGACGAAACGAGTGAGCTGGCGTGGTGTAATACGCGAATATTGACACGCTCGATGAACAAGCGCGCAATCATATCAAACTAGCAAAGCTGAAGAAATGTCGTTTTCTGTGTGGCGTGGGGGAAAAAAAGGCTTAAGGCCCGCAGCAAAGCGAAGCTAGACTAACCTTGGCCAGGCTAGGCTCACGAGCGATTTGTGGACTTGCTAAACAACGGACATTTAAAGCAACTCAAAAAAAGATAAACCTGGCTGGCGAATTTGGGAGAAATGTTTGGTTGCCGTCTCTTCTTCCGCCATCGAGCGACGCTATCAGCACGACAACATCCGCTTTTCAAAATCAAACTTAATGTCACACGTTCGACGCAGTCTAACTGTGGCGTGACAAACTGAAAGGACAACTTGGCACAAAAATTCCCTTCAATCATGTGCACGTCCCTATTATTCGAAAACTAAAACCCTTTAGACAGCGACGATGGCCGAAGGGTAGCCGGAGTTATGGCGGACACAAGTGTACTTTTTACGGCGTATCATTGTCGTCTACCTTGTTCATCTTGCTCGATTCGCTGCTTTTGTTTTGAAAGACAGCCGCCATCTTGTTGGACTACAACGAGGGGAAGTAGGCTGGCCAAGATTCGTTGATGACGTCGCCAAGCGCGAATGGCATCAACAAACGAATAAACGAATACACACAGCACCGTGTACTTTCCGTTACGGTGCTCCATACATCGTATGTTTAGCGACTCGTAAGCGGCAAGGTGTGAGAAAACGACGCAATCGTTGATTGACGAAATCGATGAGCGCTTGAAATACTTGCGGGTTGCCGTCGCGCGCCGTCTGCTGCCACCTAGCGCGACGGACGCACGCGAGCCGACGAGCGATTGAAACGCACCCATTTGAACGCGAGAACCAAAAGCGTCAGAATGAGTCGAAATTACAACGACGAGTTGCAGTATTTGGACAAGATTGACACCAACTGCTGGAGAATAAAAAAGGGCTTTGTTCCCAACATGAAGGTACATCTTCTCCACGCTCCGATCGTGAACGTGGCGAGTTAGCAAGCTAGTTCGGTAGCCGCATTTCGCGTGTTTGATTGCCGTCAACTGACGCTCGCTGGCATACGCGCCGTGACGCGGTCATCACCGGAGTGCAAAATGGCAACTCGGAAGGCTGTCATCCGTGGACTACGTTGGAACTGATTGCGATTCAACGGTGACACCTGCGTGCGTGTGCGTCTTCTAGGTGGAAGGACTATTCTACGTCAACGAGCCCCTGGAAAAATTGATGTTTGAGGAGCTGCGGAATGCGTGTCGAGGAGGAGGTGAAGGCGCGCTCCTCTTCCGCGAACGTCCGGCCGCGCGTGCGCGTATTTGCACCTTTGTGACTTGCTGATCGTGCCCCCGTTTCCATTGGGCAGGCGTGGGCGGCTTCCTTCCAGCCATGAAACAGATCGGAAACGTGGCGGCGCTGCCCGGCATCGTCCACGTGCGTATGAGCCACTCCCCTGTTGACAATTGACAAGTCGACCTGGGGGAAAGCAACTAAACCGAAGAAACCCCTCCCCCCCGACCCCCTTAAAGAAAACAAAACGCAAAACAGCTTGAGGAGAGAGGAAATTGCTAGTTGGAGGACAAAGAATGTCGTGTATAAGAACAAAACATCATTTGAGGAAGAAAAAGTGTCAAATTTGTAAAACATTTCATTTTATGGAGAGATTGTTTTTCACAACGTTTCATGAAAACAGATGGAATTTGTGACAACATTCATCAAGAAAATTTTGGGCACAATTGTCGTATGGGGGGGGGGGGGATAAAAAGACAAAAGGTCGAGTGAAAAAGGTTTTCTTTAGGTCTGTTTATTTTCCCCCTGAGGCAAAAGTGTCCTTTCGCAAGAAAACTAGCAACTGTCAAGCGTCCAATTTGCCTCCGTTAACGGGATTCTTCGGCGGGGTGACGTGGTGCCATTTGTCCACAGAGGTCCATCGGCCTCCCGGATGTCCACTCGGGCTACGGCTTTGCCATCGGGAACATGGCGGCCTTCGACATGAATGACCCGGACGCGGTGGTGTCTCCAGGTGAGCGACGGCGCACCCACCGCGCGCGGCGAGTTTTTGGTTTACATTTGCACCGCGACTAAAGGAGGGCGGGCGGGCGTGCGCGGCAGGCGGCGTGGGCTTCGACATCAACTGCGGCGTGCGCCTGCTGAGGACCAACCTGGACGAGCGAGACGTGCC